CAACCAAGAATACATGCTCTAATAACATTGACTACTACTGGGCCGAGCCTGTCACACCTATCGTAAAAAAAGCAACACAGTGTGCCGGTCTCCCATTAAAAATACATTGCCTATGCCTGGCAATACGGCATTCGTGTGTCCCGAACTATAGGTAATTTTATTAAATCAAATATTGGTACTTTAATTTCATTTTCCCGATGTGAAATAAAAAGACGTGGGTTGTTTTAAAACATTTGAATTCTATATTTATTTGTAACGTCCCCAAAATTGTTAAATTTGTGACTGTGCAGCAGAAGATGACAAATTTTAAATAAGTGTTGCAACAATTATTGTTTTTTTTTTTCAGGGTTCTCATTTGCTACACTCATCAGTTGTTATACAATAACTAAAGATTTAGTACCAATCCTACCATCAGAAAAACTAGAAGACGATGTCTTAGTCAGAAAACTTCCAAACGGAAGTACAGTTAATATAATTTGTACTGATGATACAGTTTTAAACAAAAAAACACTAACTTGCGATTTCAAAGTAGGTTTAAAAAAACATAAACTGTTTTATGTGAAGCCAGTAGGAGATGATTGTAGGTAAGTAATGCTTAATGACAATTAAGGAGGTCCTTTCGCCACCAATGTTAAATAAAAAATATTAGATTATGACTAAAATTAATTTTTTTCTAATAGTAGATGTCCTAATTTATGTAATAGTGAACTTTTAACTATACCTTACCGTGCAAATTTTTGAGAAAATTTTTTTTAAAAATGTGTGTGTTTGTACAGTGTCTTATGAGAAAGTAAGACTTCAACAACAATTTTCGAATTATAATTAATTTTACTATTATTTATTGATTAGATGGAGTAGAAAAAAACTAAAAATAAGGTTTTTGAAATATTTAGGTTTTGTTTTTTACAATAAAATATATAGGTTACCGTGGAATTTATTGAGAAATTATTATTAAAAAATCACAAAAAATTTTCAACTAGGTTACTTGAAAATTTCTTGTGATTTTTTAATATTAATTTCTCAATAAGTTCCACGGTTTACTATATATATTTTATTGTATAAAACAAAATCTAAATATTTCAAAAACCTTATTTTTAGTTTTTTTTCTACTCCATCTAATCAATAAATAATAGTATAATTCGAGAATTGTTGTTGAGGACTTACTTTCTCGTGAGGCACTGTACAAATACTCACATTTTTAAAAAAAAATTCTCAAAAATTTGCAAGGTAAGGTATAGTTAAAAGTTCAGTATTAGATAAATAAGGACTTCAACTATTAGAAAAAAATTAATTTTAGTTATAATCTAATAACTTTTTTTTAACATTTGAGGCGAGAGGTGTGGCGAAAGGACCTCCTTAAAAAAGGCTTAAGATAAAAAATTAAAATGACTTTGGGTTAAATTGTCTATTTTATTGATTTTATCTGTCAAAACAGTCAAATTTTGTGAATTCAGCCAATAAGAGCTCGCGATCCTAACCAATTATTGAGTTTTATACTGATTAAACTACCTTTTTAAGTTTTGTTTTTTTTTATCTTTTAATAAAATTATGTTTACTTTTTAAACTGACAACTAAACATAATATAACAACTCAAATCTATTTTATTACCCAAATTTAACTTGTTAATTTTACTCTGCAAAATTAAAATCGGTAATAAACTAATCTGTTTTTGTCTGTTTTATCACTTTTAGCACACATAAAACTAACTCATTTAAACACACAATTTTTAACAAATTTAATGTTTAAATACCTACACAATTCTAAATTAACTCAAGTAAATAAATCTTATTCCATTTCATAGTTTAAGATATAGAAATAACAGTAAAAACTTTAAAAATTAGCAAATGTGTTTCTGAAATGAAAGTAATCTGCTTAATGTCGCCGCCTGTCCATTCCTTCTCTTATACTAATACGGTGTTGCCGTTCTCATTATTTTTTTGACTATAAAGGAAATTTAATCGATAAAATTTGGAGCACTCGTGGTATTACCTTTGATCACGGTTCGTAGACAACACGGTGGCCTCTTTCGGCCGTTGCTAAGGAAGGGTGTGACGTCCCGGAATAAAAAATCGAGCTGACAGAAAATATTCTGTTGCGGTTCGTTTATTAGTATTTTTTTTTTAAATCTATCTTTTTTATTAATATTTAGTGGTGCTCATATTTTTATTTTTGGACTATATACCTGTGTTGGAGTTTTTATAAAATCGGTAATTTGATTTTTTGAAAGACAAGCTACAAAACGGCATGGAAAAATCATGTAATGCTTACCATCGAATGAAATTACTTTTTATTTAAATTATTAAGAGAAATATTATTGTGTAAGTGATTTATTTTAAACATTTTGGATCTGAGCTGAATTCAGATCACACTTTGTTTGTATCTCAAAATATTTAAAAAATTTGGTAAGCTTGGAAAGAGCCGTAGTGTTGCTGTTAGCAACCAATGTTTACTTTTTACAGACAAAAATCGTTAGAATAAATAAAGGAACTGAGCTTAAAATGAAATTAAAAGCTAATGATAAGATTTTAAAATAATTAGTCTGCAAATATCATTCACTATTATTAAATTAATTGCAGTTTTGTCCACCCTACAATTAAAAGCAAATTATATGGTTTCTAACAAACATTAAAAACATCCAAGAGCAAAAAAGACACACATAGCCGCCGATTTCCTGGGGCTCTGGGTGCGCAAACGTGGACAAAACGTGCCAATAAGTAAAATGAAGTAGTTGTCGTGGCCCAAGTTGGTATAGCGACAGGATGCCTTAATGCGGCATCAGTTTTTCATTGGCTGTCAGAGTTAAGCTGTGACGTTGCAGGTTGCGATAATCCTAATGCTCATGCAAAATATTAAAGCTTTCTTTTTAAGACCCAATTCAACTTTTTTCTTAGGTTGGAAAACGATTTTTTGTTCGAATTAATACAAGACGCCACTTTAAATGTCTATCTCTTAATGTCAGAAATTCGTAACCCGATGAGTTTAATAAAACGTATGTCTCGAATTAGCACAGTTGCATTTTAGCCTTTAAATACTATAAAAAAAAGTCAATAACTATTAAATATTTGTTAAATATCACTTATTAAAATAATAGGTATTAAAAGTAAAACAAACTATAGACTTTCCACCATTCTTTAACGTACTCTGATCCCATTTTGAAAAACAATTTCTAAAAATATTATCGTTCAGGGCTGTATTTTTTATGATAAAAAAGTCGACATCACTTGTCATTGACAATGTGTTGAACTTGGACTTAAGAATTTATTATTCTTGGTGTATAAAACCCTATGACGTCAAAAAAGAACGACTAATAACATTCTACAATTATGAAGACAAGAGCTCTGTACATATGTACATATTATTATGCTATCGAGCAAATGCTTGAGGGGAGAAGGGATAACATGTGGAAGCTGCTACAGATCATCAAACACCGTTAAAAAAATGTTCATTTAGAGTCAGAAACAGCTCTCTAGTAGTGCTCGCGAGTAACCCAAGTCATTTACTAAAAAACGCTCGGACCCGATTTTAGAGGGAAACATTTTCTTGCTATTTTTACCCCTGAACGGAAACCCTCTAACGGGGGTGAGACCCACCCCTAAAATCTTAAATCAAACAGAGGTCGAATGATATCTTATTTTAATGGCATTTCTACCTAGATTATAACCCCCTACGTAGCCCATACAGTGGCTCACCAAAAGTACCAAACCGGTTTAATATAATTTTTACATTGTTATTAAAAGGAAATTTTTTGTTACAATTCTAGTTTTATTCCTGTGACCTTCAATTATTGTTATCAAATGATATTCTTTGGTCGCCGTAAAGTAGTGCTAATGGGAACTGCCCAACTGTTTAGCAATCAACATCAAAATCGACAAGTCTATCGACAGTATATTTTGGAGTCAATCCAAAAATTTTGGGAAGTGGGGTCAGTAGCTAACAAAAAACGTGAAATGGATAATGCTGTAGTAAATGAAGCTACAGAGGTGGCGATTTTAGGGCATGTTGTTAAATAACCCACATTGAGTACAAGACAGTTGGCGATAACTCTGGTATTTAAGAGAAGTAGCATTCAGAAGATATTGAAAAAAACACAATTTTCATCCATACAAAATACATCTGATACAAGAACTTATCGAAGACGATATTGATGGGCGATTAGAATTTTGTGAAATTATGACTGAACAGACAATAAATAATCAGAAATTTCTTTTCAATATGTGTTTTTCTGACGAATGCACTTTTTCCTAAATAGTACGGTAAATCGTCACAACTATCGTTATTGGTCCGATTCAAATCCGAGAATATTTCATGAAATGCATACGCAAAATCCAGAAAAACTGAATGTTTGGGCTGGCATTTTTGGTAACCGTATAACTGGCCCCTTTTTTCCCCTGGAACTTTAACCGCAAAAATATTATTAGAAAACGCCATTTATCCAGCATTACTAGAGTTGATTGAGGATGACGATCAGTACATAGCAAACAACTTAATAATCCAGCAAGACGGGGCGCTGGTATAAGCATTTAAAAAAAGTAAAAATCGTTAAAAGATCATGGCTAGGAAGACAGTAGCTATTTAAAACTGGGGGGTTTTAATCTAGGTAAAAATACCTTCAAAATAAGATATCATTAGACCCCTCTTTTCATTTAAGATTTAGGGGTAAATTTCACCCTGGCTAGAGGATTTCCATTCAGGGGGTGAAACTGTCAAAAAAATGCTTCCCCTAAAATCAAAAATTGACGGGTCCGAGCATTTTTTCGTAAATGACCTGAGGTGCCAAAAATTGGTTCTGTTTCGTTTTCGCATGTCCACCCTGTATATATACAATACCTTATTATATGTGTTAATAAATCATCAAAAATTTCCTTCTAAGTTCATGATAGTTAATAAATGTTTGATATTGTGTTTATATTTATTTCACTGGAACTCCCGTCTGCCGCTTCAATCCTCAAAACTCCAGCAATTCGACATTTAATAATAACTTTTTTCCAAGAACATTTTCATAAAATAAACGCTTTAAGAAGGCTTTTTTTAAAAAACCGGTGGTGACCCTAAGTAGGGTGTAGAGGGGGAGGAGCCCCCATTTCTTGCATAGAAGCCGGGCACCCAAAGCAATTTTTGAGTTCCGGCAGGAATGAAGACACATACATTTTTGAAAAAAGGGTTTGCTACAGGAACTTTTTAGCAAAAAGTACATAGTTACAAATTATTTTAAAGAAGAAAACAAGGGCCTTTTGGAGTTGAGAAGAAATTTGTAAAGCACTCGAGATAAGATGTTTAAGTAGAAGGTGCTATCTTCACTTCAAAAATACTCAAAGTATCCCTTGCTGGGTATTTCAACTTTACAAAAGTGCGCTACTAAAATAAATCTAAGATATAGACTTTTGAATGATTTATTTAAATACTTCAAGTATATGTAATGGTAAATCTCCTCTGTGTACTGTATACTACACAATAGATAAATCTGTTTTTCTTTAATGTGGTACCTATTTATAGATTATTATAATAAAACTGGTTGTTGTTGTTTTATTTTTTTTTAAGTAAATTATACTGTTCATACATCAAATAACTAGAAACTGACAAAATATAATTATTTCTGATGTAAATGTACATTGTATGCTTCTTCTGAAGTCCTAAAAGGGCCCACGTTTCCTTCTATAAAATTATTTGTATCCCTTTTTTTAATAATGTAGGTTCTTTTAGTAAAGTCCTTTGACTTTTCTTGCTCTTCGTTGTGTTTCATGCTTGTAAAGAAACCAGCTGGTCTGCTTTAAAATGTAGGGTGGACAAAGCTGCGATTAATTTAATAATAGTAAATTATATTTAGGGAATAATACTCTAAAATCTTACCATTAGCCTTTAATTGCAATTTAGACTCAGTCCCTTAATTTTTTCGATTTTTGTGTATAAAAAGTAAAAATGTTTGGCAATAGCAATGGCTTGCTCCAGGCTTGCAAAAATTTCAAAATATTTTGGGATATAAACAAAGTGTGATCCAAATTTAGCTCAGAGGCCGTACCCTAACCCAAAATCACAGCATATAAAACATGTTTTATATGATGTGCCAAAATGTTTAAAATAAACCATTCACACAATAATATTTCTCTTTATAATTCAAATAAAAAGTAAATCATTTGAAATTTGATGCAAATCATTACATGATTTTTTCTTGCTGTTTTAAAGCTCTTATTTTAGAAAATCAATCTACCGATATTATAAAAACTAAAACATTTGTTCAGGTCTTTAAAAATAAAAATATAAACACTACTAAATAACAATAAAATATCGTTACCTTAACATGAAAATCTTCTAACTCCACTTTTTACAGAGAACAACATTATTGTGCCATCTATTAATAAAATCCTAAATACGTAAGCTCTTAAAATTACAAACCTCTACTTTGTTGGCATGTCTGTTAAATTTTATAATGTGTTAACTTGTAACTCCACAGATGCCCCAAACATTAAAACATGTACTTCCACAGTTTCCTTAAAAAAAATGATTCTATTTTACAGTAAATTACCTAATACGAAACAAAATCATAAATAGGCAAAGACAAAATAGTTAAGTACCATTTTCTTTTCTGTTTGTGATCCGATTTTATTTTTTTAGTTTTTTTAGTAACTATTGACGAGCTTTAAAAACAAATATTTTTTTTCCAACCTTTTATAAATGAAATCCAATGAGCTACAATTAATTATGATATATGCTTGACTTATAAAATTAGCCTATAGCGAACATGAGCACTC